CCGACGCACCGTCCCGGGAGTGTAGAAGGCTAATTGGCCTTGATGGCAGCCGATCCAGGCTTTGATCCTCGGACCGCCCGCGTGGCTAGTGTGCCTCTTGCCAACATGCCACTTCCGTCATGTAGGCCAAATTCCACTCAAAATGCTGAATGGGAGTGTGGTAGTGTGGGTCACGGTGCATGAAGGGCATTACCGACGGAATAGGTTTGCCGCGGCGCCTAACCTATTCTGCCGGACATGCCCCACTGCTCGACTACCGTCGTCGAAGCGATTGGGCGACAACAGCTGGGATACGGTACAGTCTTGTCCTTGCTCATTCCAAAAACTGGGGAAAATGGGTTTGGCGCCGCGCCAAACTCCACGCCTGACACGCCCCTTCATCCACAGCGAGCAAGACTGTATGTGTGACACAGCCCGAAAAGGAATTGATCTGTGCCGAGAAGCTTGTCGTTTGTCTCCCTTGAGCCTATGACCAACTTTTCTTCCCATTTCCTATTACTCTAGTTTGGTTAATCAGTTGTATAACATGACTATGGTTTCAGCAGTTCGGAGGGAAACCGATAGAATGCTTAGTTCCCGATATATTCAGCAGTTCCTGGGAACAGGTTTGAAATTAAGTTCTTCTCATGTTGAACCGTAAATCCTTAATAGTTTTACAGTATGCTGAGAACTACTGCTGGGCACAAGACACCTATTACGTGCCGATGAGTGAAGCCGTCGCTGGTATGCTTGACGATGACCGCCGTAAACGGCAAATAAGTTACTATCAGGTGATTATGGGTGTGGCCGTCAGTGGCCTCGCAAAAGGTTGATCCTCTCAATTCAATGATTTTTCAGTGGGTGCCATTTTTTCTTCTTGCTGAAGCTGCCTGCTTTCGACTTCCCAGTATTCTATGGCAATATCTGGCTTGCCATTCGGGTACGATTTATCCATTGATTCATTTCTACCTCAATCCGGTTTTATTTGCTTCTCAGGTGGAACCCAGAGAAATCTAAGACTTCCCGTTTATTTATTGTTACTGTAATCCCTATAACACCCACAATATTGATTCGTAGAAGACACTGGATTCGATAAATATTTTCAGGTATAAAAATCCATGAAGTCGTTAAGCTGTCGTCTGATCCGAACAATATCAAACCTGACATCAAACGAGCAAATATAAGATCGCTCACGATCCATCTTCAGGTTTGTAGTCCCATTTTTGAGAAAGGGTAGGGAACTAGTAATGAAAAAATGGGGATGATGTGGTCGGAGCTGATCAACCTTTTCGGATGTGTCACGCATCCGTTTTACATTGAAAAATCTCATGGTCAGATTCAGCTAACGATGAGTTTGCCGTATGCAGTGGTCCACGCCTGTACTCGATCTATCTGACACTGTGCGCCTACTTTTGCCACTGTAGATATCTGCTTAAACACTTCCATTTGCACCAAGAAACCAGACCCGGTGCGCATCATGTGGCGGGCAATAGTCACCATGATTGCCCCTTTCTCATTGGATGACGTCTATCTAAGACTGCCCCGAAGGGAGCAGACGTGTTAATGAAAAACTAGCAGCCCTGTGAACACGCATGCCTGTCCGCACAACCGTGAAATGTGCCTTTAATTTCTTGGCAGGCGCCGTTCGGCGACAGGCGAAGGCGGCATTTTAGCACTTTCGCGGCTGGATGGCACACGCCTAATGAAGGCAGCCCAGGACGGTCTGCAGCATCTCCCCCCCCCCGCCCACCCCCGGCCCCCCCCCCCGTCCCCCCCCCCTCCCCCGGTCACCGATCTCCGCTTTTTCTTGTTTGTCCTGTCAGAGGGCGTAGTATTGCTGATGCTAGTGCTGTCACTCGCAATCCCGCTTTCCGGGGTCAAATATTACATGGACCTCCGCCTGAAAAGAAAAGGTTGCTATCCTTGCCTGCTGACTAGAAGTTATTATTAAATATTTTATAAATTCACTTTTCAAGCTATTCGGCCTTCTTGACTCGGGTCGCTGACAGCTACTGACCACAGTGCCATTCAATGTTTCTCGCTTTCATACTTTGAACTAAAAAGTCTTCTGGTTTAGCAGTTCGTTCCTTGGGAACTTGATTCAGGGACCATGTTTTGTCCTTAATGCATGGTCTTCTGTTTGCTGTCTGTGAAAAATATAGAAAAAAGAAAAATACAGAAAAAAACATTTGAATATAGTATTGCCCCGATTTAGCGGAGCCTTACGCTTTCATCGTCGGCTACAAAAGAAGCAAATCCGTCCGCATCATATTCTATGGCTATTTAATCTACCATATTCAGCCTTTTTTGTCACATGGTTGTATTTGTGCACGAAATTCTTCTATCTGGCAAATGTATGCTTGCAGTTGCTACTCATGAACAAGTAAGTTTCTGGTATTTTCTTCTAATTCTGATCAACTATTTATTGAATCAAAAGTAAGATCTCTAGCAACTTTGAAACAAGAATGTAACCATGAGTAGGTTCGCCTAAGATTGGGCGGCAGTCCACGCTAACCATGTGGGCGGAGTCAGGCCACCCATAGTGTCTTCTACATGGCATGTCTCTCCACTCTAACAGAGAAGAGAGGAGGTGCGCGCTAATAAGGAAGGTTCATTGCTTGTCTGATTCCGTCCGTACGCTCAGCGTGGAATGTGCCTTTATAATGGAGTAGTGTATAAAATGGCGCGCTGCTCGGTGTCCGAAGGTTAGGCTCCGCCCATACACTCTACGTGGAATGTGACTTCATGGTGAAGTGCTGCATAAGTCGCTACCCATTTCTAAGGAATAGGTTTTCAATGGCAGCATCAACGGTGTCCTTGAATCGCACTGCTAAACGGGTGCAATCGTGCGTTACGAGTAGCCGCAAAAGCGAGTCACCGTGCTGCTGCGCGTGGTTATTTGGTATCTGCGCGGCGCCACAATGTGAATCTCCTGAATCAGTGGCTGTTTGTGTCATTGCCTTCCACCACTCACACGTCTAACGTGATGAGCCGGTTAGCCGATATCACCTGAGAGGGTTAAAGCGGCCCCGGAGCGTAATGGATGACGCAACCGCCCGGTAAGCGAGGGATGCAGGTTCGAGTCCCATTCCTGGTCCAACTTTTGCCCATATCTCATCATTCTCGTGATAACTATCCAAATTGTTTGATTTTATCAACTATTTATCGATACGGATAAATTTTAGTGTTTCCCTTTTTAATAGGAATTTGTCAGGTTTCTGGAAACCGACAAGTACGCCTGGTATGGATTGGGAGCGATGATTGATTTATTAAATGGGACTACGTGGGAACAGAGCGGAATGTTTCCTCGAGTGTCGCTTTGCGATTTTGATGTGAGTCATTTATGCAGCTTTTCAACGTTCAGGTCTTACAGAACATTTACCTTAATGTTTAGGTTCGTGTGATGGGAAACGTGCAAGAGCACACAGTACAATGTGTGCTCATTATAAATATCTTCAATGAGAAGATATTCATTTTCTTGTGGTTTTGGTAAGTGGAATTGTACAATTTGAATGATCCAAGCGCGAGCGATTTTTCAAGCGCGCAAAACCTTCTCCCGACACGCCCCATCGTCCGCATCGAACTAGACTGTAGTGCAACCCTATCGTACTTGTAATCTTTACC